CATTTTTAGATGGTCTCTAAATTCGGGTGGGATATACTGAAGGTTGCACTTTGGCTCTTGTGGACTTGTTCTAATTTTCTTCAACTTCAGCTTTAACTTGGATATGAGCAATTGATGATCTGTTCCGCAGCTGTCCCCTGGCCTTGTTCTGACTTAGGATATTGAGCTTTTCCATCGTTTCTTTCCACAGATGTAGTAGATTTGATCCCTGTGTATTCCATCTGGGGAGGTCCAAGTGTATGGTCACAGTTTATTAGAATTTTAAAAATCAGATGAGAAGGGAACCTGCTAAGATCACATAGGTATAAGCTCTATTATCTTCAAGTTACCCATTAAATCTCTCCAGTTATTAGGTTCTGATTTCAGCTAAGGATAACTGCTATATTTCATAGCTAACTTCTGCTCTCATCATTCCGGCTATTACTACTGAAAATTAAATAAACCAAGGAATTAATTATTGAGGTTTGATAGCATGTTTTTCAAATCTCTTGGAATAACTTTTTCACTTATTTCAATTCCCAAAATATTGCCTTTCTGTATGTATGATGAACTGAAGCTGGATATCATTGAATATGAGCCAACGAGATCCTCTTCAAGACTGGAGCAAATGACATTTAAAGCTCAAAGATCATCTAGTCTACTGGTTCCCAAACTGGGCTGCCCATTGGAATCACATGGGGATTTTTTAAAAATACTGATGACCTGAATTTAGAGACCCTCTCAAGAATAGATTTGACACATTGAACACTAATGAGTGAATACCAGACGAGTTGTGGAATGACATCAAGGACATCATACCTGAAGAAAGCAAGAGGTCATTTAAAAGATAGGGAAGAAAGAAAAGATCAAAAAGAATGTCAGAAAGGCTCTGAATCTTCCTTAGAATGAAGAGTAGCTAAAGTGAAAGGAAGAAAGAAGGAAGTAATAGAGCTGAACAGAAGATTTTAAAGGGCAGTTCAAGAAGGGAAAGTAAAGTATTAAATGACAAGTGCAAAGACCTGGAGATAGAAAACCAAAAGGGAAGAACACGTTTGACATTTCACAAGCTGAAAGAACTGAAGAAAAAATTCAAGCCTTAAGCTGCAACATGGAAGGATTCTATAGGGAAAATATTAAATGATGCAGGAAGCATCAAAAGAAGATGGAAGGAATCCAGAGAGTCACTATTCCAAAAAGAATTGGCCGACGTTCAACCATTTCAGGAGGTAGCATATGATCAGGAACCGATGGTACTGAAGGAAGAAGTCCAAGCTACACTGAAGGCATTGGCAGAAAACAAGTCTCCAGGAATTGATGGGATACCAATTAAGATGTTTCAACAAACAGATGCAGCACTGGAAATGCTCACTCATCTAAACCAAGAAATTTGGAAGACAGCTACCTGGCCAACTGACTGGAAGAGATCCACATTTATGCCTATTCCCAAGAAAGGTGATCCAACAGAAAGTGGAAATTATCTAAAAATACCATCAATATCACACATAAGTAAAATTTTGCTAAAGATCATTCAAAAGAGGCTGCAACAGTATAATGACACAGAACTGCCAGAAATTCACACAGGATTCAGAAAAGGACATGGAAGCAGGCATATATCATTACTCATGTCAGATGGATCCTGGCTGAAAGCAGAGAATACCAGAAAGATGTTTACCTGTGTTTTACTGACTATGCAAAGGCATTCAACTGTGTGGATCATAACAAATTATGGATAACATTGCAAAGAATGGGAATGCCAGAACACTTAATTGTGCCCATGAGGAAAATGTACATAAATCGACAGGCAGTCGTTTGAACAGAAGAAGGGCATACTTCGTGATTTAAAGTCAGGAAAGCTGTGCGTCAGGTTTATATCCTTCCACCATACATATTCAGTCTGTATGCTGGGCAATAATCAGAGAAGCTGGACTATATGAAGAAGACGGATTCATCAGGATTGGAAGAAGACACATTGACAACCTATCTTATGCAGATGACACAAGCTTGCTTGCTGAAAGTGAAGAAGACTTGAAGCACTTACTGATGAAGATTGAAGACTACAGCCTTCAGTATGGATTACACTTCAACATTAAAAAGAAACAAAAATCCTCACAACTGGACCAATAAGCAACATCAAAATAAATGGGAAAGGATTGAAGTTGTCAAGGATTTCATTTTACTAGGATACACAAACAACACTCTTGGAAGCAGCAGTCAAGAAGACCCACTGCATTTGGCAAATCTGCTGCAGAGGACTTTCAAAGGGTTGAAAAGCAAAGATGTCACCTTGAAGACTAAGGTGTGCCTGACCCAAGCTATGGTGTTTTCACTTGCCTCATATGCATGCGAAAGCTAGACTATGAATAAGGAAGACCAAAGAAGAGTTGACGCCTTGGAATTGTGGTGTT